GTTCTTTTGGAGCTTGGGAGATGAGAATGTTGAGGTCAAAGCAGAAGATGGAGGCCTGGCTTGTGACGTTTCAGAGGGAAGCTGACTCTATTGTGGCCATTTGTTATTTTCAATTAGGATTCTGTAGTTCTGGTTAGCTGGGGCTGAAGAATCAACTCAACTGCTAAAGTGAAACTTTTTCTTTGCTGGGATGCTTGATGTTTATTGGCTGGTCATTAAGAAGAGACCAGAATTATTGAGGTGAAATCTTGTGGGAAGTGTTTCCTGAGAGCACACAGAAGCTGTGTTCCAGAGGCAGCCATGGTTGTACCTTGTGTTGGCAGCAGGACTTGGTAATGTATAAGCATCACCTGGGGGTGGTACTAGTTTTGAAGATGTGAAGGGGTCATGGAGGGCAGCTGAGGCTTGGCCCTGTGAGAGTCCAGGAGAGGCCATTGGCGGAGGTGCAGCCTCAGTGGCAGTTGAAGGCCCAGGACTGAAGGGGTCATGCAGAGAAGTTGAGGCTTGGCACCGTGAAGAGAGCCTATGAGAGGCTATTGGTGAAAGTGTAGCCCAGTTGCAGCAGAAGACCCCAGCATTTTGGAGATGTCAGTACCATGGCATGACCTCCAAGAACAGCAGCAGCAGTGGAGTGGAGCCAGCTAGAGCCTAGAAGACAATCTGTGTGCTGCAGAGGGCGGAGCCAGAGAAGTGACCTAAGCTCCTTGGAGGAGTCCAGAAGATTGTGAGAGAACCCCAGATGATTGGATGTTGACTTATTTATCCTGTTGGAGTTTGGTTTTGTTTTGTTCAGATTGTGACTGGGCCCTGACTCTTCCCTCTTGAAGTGAGAAGGTATTTAATTTAATTTTGATTTTTATAGGAGCTCACAGCTGAAAGACTGAATTTTTTAAAGAGGTTTTGGACTTCAAAAGAGATTGGATATTTTAGAGACTGAACTTTTAATGTTTGAATTTGTAAAGACCACGGGACTTTTATAGTTATTATTTTAATGTGAGACTTGGGGATGAATGAGAAAGGAAAGGTTGTGGTTAATGGTGATGTGTTTGTGTGTCAAGTTGACAAAGGGCCAATCCTGCTGGGTAGTTTTACATCAAGTTGACACAAGATAACCTTTTTAAGAAAATGCCTCTATCTGATCAGGTGGTAGGCAAACTTGTAGGGCACTTCCTAATGCTATGACCCTTTAATACAGTTCCTCATGTTGTGGTGACCCCCATCCATAAAATCATTTTCATTGCTACTTCATGGCTGTAATTTTGCTACTGTTATGAATCATAATATAAATATCTGTTTTCCAATGGTCTTAGGTGATCCCTGTAAAATGGTCATTTGACCCCCAAAGGGACAGTGACCCACAAGTTGAGAACCACCTCTGTAGGGTATCTTCTTAATTAGTGATTGATGGGGGAGGGCCCAGCCCATGGTGGGTGATGCCATCCCTGGGCTGGTGGTCCTGGGTTCTATAAGAAAGCAGGCTGAACAAGCCATGGGGAGCAAGCCTGTAAGTAGTACCCCTCCATGGCCTCTGCATTCAGGTTCTTGCCCTGTTTGAGTTCCTGTCCTGACTTCCTTCCATGATGAACAGTACTGTGGGAGTATAAGCCAAATAAACCCTTCCCTTCCAGTTTGCTTTTTGGTCATGATGTTTCGTTGCAGTATAGAAACCCTAACTAAGACACGTGGGTAGACACATGACTGGCGTCATCTGTCCCAGGCAGCACTGACTGATAAATTATTCCTGGGAGTAGAATAAATACACATTAATCTAAGCGAATTGAGACTGTAGGGGCACATGTGCATATCAAAAACATCTCGGGAAAAAGGTGTGACTGCCTCTCCTGGATCCCTTAAAAAGGTGGACATCTAGTCCTGTAATGACAAAGGCCCATACCAACCTGCCATCCTATCATCCTAACGTATGTGTCAAGGGGCTGACGAGTTCCCAACTGTCCTGGGGCTTCAGCTCAGCTCAGCTCATTGCTGGTGCAGCCTATTTGAATTTCTGTCTGCCTGTCTGTGCCTGCTGTCTGTCTGTCTTCCCATTCATTCATCTTGACTCGGTCTACCTTTTCACCTCTGCAGCTCTGCTTAAGCCTGTGAGCCTCCCAGGCCTGCCTCCACAAGGGCAGACCTCCTGAGACCTCCACAGACCCCTCGCCTTTCTGTCAGTTTCCTAGCTTTGGCTTCTGGAGCCGCTTTGAACCTCCATGACTACTTAGACCGCTATGGCCGCTCTACAGTGTACATATGCAGGTGTATATCAGTGTATTTACTGTGATAGGCAGAGTGTAATCTGAGAGTTAATATTAGTAATTAAGCTTGGAAAAAACAAGAGCCGTGTTTGCAATGGCTGGGGCCATCAAACTGCTGCCTTTGAGGCTTCTGTAGTGTGTGTGTGTATGTGTGTGTGTGTGTGTGTGTGTGTGTGTGTGTGTGTGTGTGTGTGCGTGTGTGTGCATGCATGCATTCATGTGTGCATGTACATGTATGTTTGTGTATGTGTGTTAATAAATTCTGACACTGTGGACAGACATAAACCTAGTCATCTCTTTCTGATATAGCACACTCATGGAAGCTCTGGAGGCTTGATGGGGCCCTGATGCTCATACAGCATTTGTCTCACACATGTCTGTAGTTCTGCTAGTGACTCTCAGGTTTGTTGACCATCTTGGAAGTCAGGTTGTAGTAACTCAGTTCAGAGTCCCTGAAGCAGAATGGCCCCAGACTGTTCCTTTTATCAGTCAGCTCTTTCTAAAGTACAGGGGTCCTTCAGTATCCACAGGGGACTGATTTTAGAATCCCTCCCAATACCAAAGCCTGAAGATGTTCAGGTCCCTTATGTAAAGTGGGCACAGTATAGGTAGTCTAAACTACTTCATCGCTGTTTTCAATCATCTCTAGATGGCTTTCTGTCCCAGTACAAGGAAAATGGATATGAATAGCTGCCATACTGTGCTATTTAGAGGATGAGGACAAGGCTGTGTCCACAGCAATTACTTTGATTTTCTTGAATACTTTTAATTCATGGATCGGAGCCTCCATGGGTACAGGAGTTGGCTGCACTTGTCCTCTCTGTCCCTCCTGTCAATTAGATCAAAGGTGGCCACCACAGTATCAACCCAAAGGCAGGCTGGTATGTAAGACTAGCTTGGCACAGCCAACAAGATGGGTCAGTCCCCCACTACCCATCCTCTTGGAATTTTACCTGGGAAACTTGGACAGAGTCACATGGTCAGGAGGAATTGAAGGCCGTGGCAAAGGGAGCAAGGAGCCAACAGTTTGAGTCTGAAGCAGAGTGCTGAGATGAGGAGAGGGCAGAAAGCCTGAGGCAGGGAGAGGTGGGACAGACACTCAAGAGGAACAGAAGACAGAGAGAGGACACACTGAGGTGAAGGCACACGCTGGGGAGGCTCCGGGAGCTACTACTACTGGTTGCATGGGAGCCATCTTGAATTCTTAAAGACCTTCCTGTTCCAGGTCCCCACTCCCATGGCACTCTGTGTTCTGAAGCACCTAGATGCAAATGCACACACACAAATGTATGCACATTTGCACACACATACATAAGAACATATTTTATAAATACATACAAGTTGAATATCTCTCCCTGGATACTGGGAACTATAAATATTTGGGGTTTGGATATTTTTTGAATTATGGAGTATTTGCATTACCTAAGGAGATGACTTGAGGATGGGGCACTAACTAAACACAAAATTAACTTACGATTTGTGTGCAATGAACATACACAACCTGAGGGGCACTTAGTGCAGTATTTTTAGGGCTCTGTGTTTTTCATGAGGACAGATGTGAACTTTCCACCTGTGGCTCAAAAAGGCTCAGATAAGGGAATGTTCCTGGTTTGGGATTCCCAGATTCAGAAATAGTATGGTTGAATAATATAAAATATAACATGGTATATAATATAAACTATCAGGATTACGTAATGTAAATACATATAAAGTGACAGACAAATATGAGCATATGTAATATGTGTTGCAGATATAGTCGAATTTCTACTGAGACGGAGACTTGAGTGTAAAGTGCGTGTGGTTGAGATCATGCTTGAGAGTCTTTTAAAGTCTCTGCAGTGCGCATGCTTTGGTATAGCTACAACCCTGGATGGTAATGTGCAGCTATACAGGCAAGTGGGACCAATCCCTTCCCAGAGAAGGCTTGCTAAAGAAGCACAAATGGGAAAACACAGACTCTGGCTCCGTCCCTGCCAGAGACCCAAAGTGAAAACATCGCGATCGTAATTTGCAAGACTTTCCTTCCCCAATGGCAATTGACTAATCCCTCTGGGCAAACCAACTATGGAGCCATCCCCTGGGTGACAGCTGTCTGCTGGGATTATTTAATTGGAACTCTCACAATTTCCCAAAGAGTTGAGTACTTTTTAACAATTAGCACACATGTAGCAACTGTATTAACATAGGAAAACAAAAACCATAGAAAGGGCCCGGCGGATAGCCCAGGACAGCGAGGCAGACATAATTCCAATTATAAGCAACCAAATGCTTCATTTTCCTGGAGGTAACAGGAAGGGGGAATCCTGGGTAAAAACCAAGGCTGTTTGATCTTGTAAATGGAAAGAGAGGGTTTTCTCTCCACACTTTTTAAAGTCTCCAGGGCTCATGATGGCTTCATCATCGTTGTCGTCAGCTTTGTTTCTCACACCAGATTCCCATCATTTCCTGCTCCCGAGTTCCTGTGCCCATTCAGTGACACTGTCAACAGCAGTTCTAATAGGACACGTGTGCTATGCCCACCGACTGGGCACCTCCGTGGTTTCCAGGAGGCACACCATGGCTTGCAGGCTTCTTCATCTCGAGTGAAGAAAATGTCTCAGTTCCTTCAGGCAGCTACAGCGAAATCCCTTAGTCTGGAAGCTCATAGGCAGCAGTAACATGTTACTAACAGCACTGGAGGTACAATGCCTGTTGAGGCTCATTGTTTGCACATACACATTTATACAGACCTGAGCACCCATGTGAGCACACACATGCACATACATACATACTCTTTTTTTTTTTTTTTTTTTTTAAAGAGAGAGATTAAGGAAATTTGCCCCATGTCTCCAGTGAGTGGGAAAGAAGGGATGAGCTTGAAGCCACTGGGAGCTGCACTGGTCTGGTGGCCGCAGGCATGGTCCCCCAACCCCATTGTTCCTCGATGCTCATGAACGCCCCCTTATCCTCTCAGCCACTTTATTGTCCACTTTATTGTTGCCTGGAACAGCGAGTGTCAGAACCTGGCCTCCTGGCCTCCTCTTCTGCTCCCCAGGTCCCAGCACCTGCCCTTCACAGATGACCCTTGTGGGTGGAGCACAGGTCTTCGGGGTGCGGCTCTCCCAGGAGCGCATCAAGCCAGAATTCCAGGTCGCGTACCAGCTGTTCCAACTCTCTCACTTCTCTCTCTAGCTTCTCCAGAAAACCGTGCAAGTTTGTCTTCAGCCACTTCCTGAGGGTCCTTATTGGCTCTTCAGTGGGTTCACTGGCCTGATACTCAAAGCCCTGAAAGGCAGACACTAAAGTTGTGTCTTCCAACTTTTCGGGAGGATTTCTTGTTTGAGCAAGTTCCCCATGCCTTTGCAAATGTTGCTCATTCTGCCTGGGTTACCTCACCTTACCTTCTCCACCTGACTAGCTCCTATTTAGCCTTCCCAAACTAGCTTTTTAGCTGGTGACACCTCCTCTGAGAAGCCGTCCCGGCCCCCTTAGCACATCTCTGAGTGTTACCTGGGATGCCACGGGATTCTGAGGGTGGCTGCAGTCCCTGATCCGTCCGGATCCTTCCCAGCCATTTCCTGAAACAGACATGGATACCCTTAACAAACAGTCTGCTAAGTGTGATTGGTCTCTGTAGCGGAAGGGGAAGTAGGAACGGGCAGAGTGTGGGGTACCTCACAGGCACACCTCCCAAGGACCTCCACCCCACTCTGTGGACTTGGTTTCTCATTGTTGGGTTCCAGAATGCTCACCTGATATTCCTGTGCCCAGGTACAGCACCAAGACCAGCAGTGCTAACAGCGTCTGGGAGGAGAGGAGGAGGAAGGAGACAGGAAGGTGAATTCCTGGGTGCAGAATGCTCCGAACCCCTGACAGGGGTGCAGTCATGGGGGAGCTATCCATCATTGGTAGACGTTTTCCCTGATCTAAGTCACACATGCTTCCAACCATTGCAGAAACAGACGACAGGGTAGTGCTCCAACATTTATATCTTCCTCTTCCTCCTCTTCCACTCCACTGTCCCGAATCACTTCAAATCTTTTTATTCCAGTCGAACTGTGGGAGGCCCCAACTTTATGGATGTCTAGTTCATACACAACAAAATGCACACGTTTTAAATGCACTGTCTGATCAGTTTTGACAGGTGTCTGCAAGTGACCTCAACGAAGATCTAACCCTTTCCCTCCTCTTGAGAGGTCTCCCATGCCTCTCTCAGTCAGTCCACTGGGGCACCGACTATCACATTGTGCCCATTTGTGAGTTCTGTGGAAAAGAGTCAATGATGTCTTCTGTGTAATGTTTCTGATGTGGTTCCATGTTTTGTGTGTTCAATTTTATTGATGAGTGTGTTGCATGGGCCTAACACAATTGGTCCTCACCTTCTGGTGGGTTGTTTACAGTTTGAGGTGGTCATGTACGAAAGTGCTTTAAACATGCGTGTGCCCTGTCTTTGTATGGACAGGACTCTCATTTCTGCTGGGTGACTGTTCAGACATGGAAATGACAAGACATAGGGTGAATGTATGCTTCTCAAGCTGTTTACTCCACTTTGTCCCATGGGTCAGTCAGAGAATTCTTGTTGTTCTATATCTTTGTCTGCACTTAGTATTGTCAATCTTAATTTTAGGCATTCTCTTGCTATTATGTAGAGACATCTCAATCTATTTTATAATGTTTTCCAAATGATCGATGAGATTTAGCACCTTTTGGCTTTTAAAGACTGTTTTATGTGTATAATTGTCCTGACTGCATGTATGTATGTGCAAACAAATGTATGCTGGATATCGGCAGAAGTCAGAAGAGGGCTTTGGAACCCCTGGAACTGGAGTTACTATAGATGGTTATTAGCTACCATGTGGGTGCTGGGAACCAAGCCTGGAACCTCTGCAAGAGCAACAAGTGCTCTCAGCTGCTGAGTCGTCCTCCAGTCTGGAGGTTTAGCCTCTCATCATGGCTTTATTGGTGAGCATTAATCTGCATATCTTTGTTATGCCTATTGAAGTCATTTGCTCATTTGTTTTATTGGACCATCTTGTCTTTTGATGAAGTTGTCGAGTTCTTTGAATATTTTGGATCTAAGTAGTTGAGCAAATATTCACTGTGAATATTTTATCGACTCTGTGGCTTATCTTTTCACTTTCACATCAGTCTCTCTTGAAAAATGAACAAGTTTCTTTTTATAAAGCAGTTCACCCTTTTTGGGGTGTGCTTTTCGTGTGAAGTCTAGAACATTTGTCTCTTTTAAGGTTTATTTTCTCTTATTCTAAGCCTTTTATTGTTGTAATTTATGTATATAATCCATTTTAGAGTAAATTTTGTATGTAATGTAAAATATGGCTGGAGAGTTTTAAAAACATAGATATCCAGTTGTCCTGCAATTATTTTTAGGACGATTTTTCCTCGTTAAATTATATTGGTGCCTTTGGTGTATCTCGTGGGTGTTCCTGGGTTCTGTTGCTTCATTGTTCTGTGTGTCTATCTTTGGTTGATGCTAAATCTGTGGGAGTCCTCATCTGCTGGCACCGCCATGCCATGCTGGCACTGTCATGCCACCGTACCACAGACTAGAGGCATTGAACGGTAGACACAGATTTTCCATCAGTTGAGACTGTGGGATGCAGCCTCTCTCCTGGGCCTTCAGGTATCACCTCTCCCCATGTCCTCAGGTGGCTCATCCTCTGACCCATGTACCCCTTGCTGCCTCTTTCAATAAGGGTACAGCCTGGCCCATGAGACCAGAGACTTCACAGCAGCCACCTCCTTAGAAACCTTGTCTACAGTCAAGTCACTTGGGGGTTAGGGCTTTAATGCATGAATTGTGACAAAGTTCTGTTTCCAAATGAGCCGCTGACGCTCTCTCGTTTGGTATGAATGAAAATGAAGAGAGAGTGTGAGGCTGTGGGAAGCGACAGGAGTCCCTGTGGTGGCTGCAGGGGATTGGGTCTGAAGCAGGGAGGGACAGGGGGAAGCAGCGTGTGCCCTGGCCTTACCTGCTTCCTGTCATCACAGTGGCTGCTCCTTCTCTGTTCAAGCAGCTCAGCGGCCACCCGCCCCCTGCCACCCATCTTCTGGATTGCCATGTGTCTGCTCAGGTCAGACTCCTCGGGGGGATGGAAGTTCTCTTGGTGGACAGGCAGGTAGGTGCCCCCTCCCCCACTCTTTGTCACCAGCCAGGCATGAGGTCTGATGTCACAGAAGGCAGAAGACAGCAAAGCCCACCACTCTGAGTCTTAGCACTGCCTCTCATAAACACACACATGCACGCACGCGCGCACACGAACACACACACACACACACACACACACACACACACACACACACACACGCAGAAAGCAATAGTCAGGAAGAGATGCTGTGAACAGGTTTTCAGATGAATTTTCCTCTATGTTCTTATAGATTTGCAAGTTATGATTAAAATGTAAATCTTTAAATAGAAAAAAAAAAGACCAATAAAAGCCATTTTGAAAATAAATTGAAAAATGTACAGAGATCGTGATAGGTTCCCACCCAGATGAAAGTAGTAACATGGGATGCAGAGAGATGGGGCTACCCCTTTCCAAGTTTCTACCCACGGTATCGTCTTGCATTATGGTAGGAGGCTTCACAGCCAGGGTGTGGGTTGATCTACCAGTCTTACTCAGGCTCCCTAGTTTTATTTGTACTTGCATGTGTGTGTCTATATTTGTGTTTAATTTTCAGTACTGATGTCACATCTGTAGGTTTGGTACCTGCCAAGATAGAAAATTCTAAAAGCACATGGGCATCAAGGATCCATGAGACCTTTGTATAACACAACACAAAACCTGCGTGTAATGGACACACAACTTCCTGTGCACTCTGTCATCTCTAGACCATTGACAATCCCTAGTGCCACATCAATACGGTATGAATGGCTGTTGGGGGGATGATGGCACACCCAGCATAGATGCCATGCTTCTAAACATTCTTATTTATGGGTGAGTTTGACCTATGGTTACAGAGGTGACCTGGGTGTGACTCCATGGAGATTCATCCGGATTATTGTCCCTGTCCTTTGTCTTAGGGTTTCCGGTTGCTGTTTTAAAACACCATGAGCAAAAGCTACCTGGGGAGGAAAGGACTGTACTTCGACTTACAGTCATTGACCATCATCGGGGAAGTGAGGGCAGGAACCTGGGGGCAGGAGCTGGAGAGGGCCGCAGAGGAATGTTGCATATTGACTTGCTCAGTCTGCCTTCTGATAGCAACCAGGATCACCAGCTCAGGGGCGGTCCCTCTCACAGCAGTCAGGAAACTTCCCCAAAGGCTTGCCCACAGGCTAATCCAGTGGGGGAGGGGTGTGTGTGAGAATATTTTTTATTTGAGCTACCAAAATGATTCTAGCTTATGTCAAATGGACATAAGACCAACTAGGACATCCTTTTTACTGACAGTATTTCATGTTACATGTCTGTGCCTTATCTATCTTATCTGTCTGTCCATGTGTGTGTTTTGTCTAACCAGTTATTCAGCCTCGAAGGAAATTCTTCACACACTCCATGAACTAAACTTTTCAGCTTGGAATTCTTATGAATGAAGGTAATATGAACATTATTATATAGGGTTTTATATAAATGTTAAGTTTTCATGTCTCTGGGATAAATGACTAAGTATACAATTGCTTGGCAGTATAGTAATGCATGATTTTAAAAAATATTTATTTATTTTGTACATAAGTGTGTGTGCCTGAGGTGTAAGTGTGTGCCTCCTGCTTTCCCTCAGAGCCTGTGGAACCCGGAGAGGCTCAGATCCCCTGGAGCTGGAGTTACAGGCAGTTGTGAGCTGCCTTGTGGGTGCTGGGAACTGAACCCGAGTCCTCTGCAAGAGCAGTAACTGCTCCTGCCTGTTGAGGTGTTTCTGCAGCCCCCACATGATGGTTTTAGAAGGAACATGGGAGTGTCCCTTTGGATGATGGAACCCTGTGCCGCAATGCATGTGGGACCCTCCCTATCCTCACCAATAGCCAGTGTTTGCACTATTTTAAATCTTAGCTCTCTTGTAGGCACTATCTTGTTGTTTGAAAGTGCATTTCCTAGTAGGCAATGTTTTGAATATCTTCCACGTGCTCATCTGCCACCCGTGGGATGAAATATCTGTTAATGAAAATCTTGTTAATGAAATATCTGTTCCTGTCTTTGGCTTGTTTTCTAATCGGATTGGTTTTTCTACAGTTGAGTGTTAAAAGTTCTTCATCTATTCTGGCAACAAGTCCTTTTCTTGGTAGATGGTCTACTAAGATTTCTTTCAAGTCTATAGAACATTAAAAAATTCTCTTACTTGACTTTTGCAGACAAGAAGTTTGAACTTTGGGTGAGGTCCAAATTCATCATTTTTTTTTTCTTTTCAGAATTGTGTTTTTCTTTCCTTTTCAAAAAAATTGTGGGCTGGAAAGATGGCTTAGCAGTTAAGAATACGGCTGCTCTTCCAGAGGACCTGAGTTCTTTTCCGAGCACCCACATGGTGACTCATAACCACCTGTAACTCCAGTTCCAAGTGATCCAATGCCCTCTTCTGGCCTCTGTAGGCACTGTATGCATGTGGTATACAGATAAAACGCCCACATAAACTATAAACTAAAAAAAGAAGTGTGTTTATATAGTGCATGTGTGTGCACACATCTGTGCCTTGTGGATGTCCAATGGCTCCAGCAGCATTTACTAAAAATGTGCTTCCTCCTTTGAATAGCCGCACACCTCTGTCAGAGCCAGTTGAGCACATTGGTGGGTCTGAATCCTGTCCCGCTGGTCTGTGTGTCAATCTTCACAGCAAACCACACTGTCTGGATCACCGGAGCTGTACCACAGACCTCAATACCAACCCCAGTGCCTGCCTCTCGCTTTGTTCTTCCTTGTCAAGACGGTTCCGGTCTTCTGGGATCTGAACCTTTCCATATAAACTTTAGAATAAATGTGTCTGTCTACAAAAGGCTTTGGTGGCTGGGATTGACTCAGTCTCACTGATCTGGGAGCCCTGGCATCTTTACTATGCTGTCATACCGGACACGGTATGCTTTTCTGTTTATTTAGAGTTTTCTCTGTTTGTAATTGGTGTCTTATAATTTCAAGCATATAGGTCTTATATACATTTTGTTAAGTATGTATTTTATTTTCTTTGAGCTTCCTTTATATTCCAAATATGTGAAGACATCATTAATTCCTCATCTTTTCATGAGTTTCCCAAACCATGCACAGCTTCTAACTAATACACGATGTCTATTGACAGCTGCTGCTGACTCAGCATCGCACCTGGTTGCTGCCGCTTCTGTAGGCTGTGATTCCATAGGTATTGGAGTACTGAACTGCTTTACCAGCCACAGTATTTTCAATGTCCCCTATACAACCTGTTATGTGGTAAATATTGGGTAAAAATATTTGCTGAAAGGGTGAATAATGAGGGAGGGAGGGAGAGAGAGAGAGAGAGAATAGGAATAAATCTTCAAGGCCTGACCCCAGTGACACACCTCCTCCAACAAGACCACACCTCCTAATCCTTCCCAAACAGTTTCATCAGCTGAGGAGCAAGCAATCAAACATACAAGCCTATGGGGGACAGTCTCACTCAAGCCACTACAATGACCTTATATAAATATATAAATATATATATAGCTGCTGGCCTCGGGCATTATCTCTTACATACTTCAAATGTCAAGTGCGGATACAGAAGGATTGCCTTCTGGCTCATTGCAGCTCATTTAAACTAAGGGGTTACTGTCACAGAGAGAGGAACCGTTCCATCAGAAACCTATTCTAGGAAGCTGGTAAACTATTCCAGGAAACCTCACTGAAGAGCTCAGGGGATTAGCTTGGAGGGTCGTTTCATGGGGATTTGGTATTAGGGTAGGAAGATGATGCCCTACAGTTGGCTCAGATGAAGGCTGGGGGTTGGGCCAGGGAGGAGGAGCAAGGGGAGGGAGAAATAGGGACCCAGTGGCTTCCTAAGTGACGTCAGGGATGAACAGGGAGGAAAGGGATAGATGGGAAACCCATGGGAGCACAGGGCAGCCCAAGTGAATAACTAGTCTTGAAAACTACATACCAGCCAGGGAGAAAGCCGCCTCACGCCTAACAAGAGGAAACCAAGCAGGACTCTGGGCTTGAGCCCTGTCTTCTAAACATGCCTGGGTCCACTCCTGGTGCCACTGTAACAGGACACTTGGAAAAGTGACCTTATATCTCTGAGTCTGTATGGCAGGCCGATCATCATATGTCTTGGGAGGTCGCTGGGAGGCCTAAGTGGGATGAACTCTCACAGCCTCTTCTTTCTCCTCCTCATCCCGTCTCCCCGGCCCCATCTCTCACCCTTCTCTCATTTCTCCAAATACTATGATTTCTCCTGGACAATTCAACTCTCCAAGCAGGGCTCTAAAGGCCTTGGCTTGACGAGCCTGCGCAGAAATCTGATAGGACAGTGTGACCTGTGAGCCTGGGTCAGGGTGGTAGCATGAGTGAAACAGTGAAGGGAGGGCATTTCTTAAAGGAAGGGATGCTCTGACTAGCTGAAGGGAGAAAGAAGGAGATTTGGGAGAATGGGTATTCTTGTCAAAGGCCTCAGAAGCTGAGCCTTAAGCTAGAGTCTAGTCCTAGACTGGGCGTGGTGCCTTGCAGGGGTCCATGGAAGAAGGCTAGTGTTATGACAAAGGCTACAAGCCTTGCCATCCGATGCATGGAGGTATGGAGTGATACATAGGGTGACATGGGGTACAAAGAGCAGGGGGCGGGGAATTGAGGCAGGTCAACAGGGCACAGGTCTAGGAGGGCAGCCACTTGGAGCTCTAAGAATGAAGGCCCGGTGTCCTCAGACCTTCTGATTATGTTCAAGAGAGGCTGGGAATCCAGTCTTGTATGCAAAACTAACTGATTTGTGAACATTGGCGGCAACTCTGACTTCAGAAGGAAATACACTGTGTGGACTAAAGGCAGGCGATGCGCGTGAACTCTGATATGGCCGCCATGACAGGTCCAGTGCTGAACCCATACGGGCTTTCCCCAAATCTTCACTGCAGCCCTGCCAGGTGGAGTTACTCAGGATGACAAGCCACAGACACTCCCTTTGTTATGTGAAACCAGAAAACATCCAGTCATAAGGGATGCCCAAAGAGTTTCTGTACCTGATGGAGGGCTGAGCACCCAGGAGGAATGGTGGCTTCCAGGGAGGGTGCTTCTGGATGCAGAACTCTGCACCAGGCCAGCTGTCTGCTCTGGGTGGGTGGATTTCATCGCCCTGGAGGAATCCTAAACTCTCATGGTGCCTATATTCTATGAGTTCTGTTTCAAATTCTCACAAGCGGATGATCTAAACCAACAGAGAACAATTTTCCTCCAGCCCCGAAGACCACAAGTCCTAGGTCTTTATTGCTGGGCTTAACTACTGTCTTCGCTAGGAATTCTATTGCTGAGACGAAACACCATGACCTTACACAACTCGGGGAGGAAAAGATTTGTTCTGCTTATAATTCCACACCACAGTCCATCACTGAGGGAACTCAGGGCAGGAGCTCAGGCAGGAGCCTGGAGGCAGAAACCGAAGCAGAGCCCATGGAGGAATACTGCTTACTGGCTTGCTCCTTGTGGCTTGCTCAGCCTGCTTTCTTATAGACCATCCAGGACCACCAGTCTGGGAGTGTCATCCCCCACAATGGCCTGGGCCCTCCCGCATCAATCATTAATTGAGAAAATGTGCTACAGACGTGCCCACAGGCCAACCTTAGGGAGGCATTTTCTCAATTGAGGTTCCCGCTTCCCAAATGACGCTAGCTTGTGTCAAGTTGACGGAAAACTAGCCGGAACAGCTATGAAGGAGCCAGCCTGACTGCACTCCCGCCGAAGTTTCTGGGGGAGGACTTTTTCCTTGCCTCTTTGGGCTTCTGGTGGATGTCTTCCTTTCTTGACTTCAGGCCACACCACTCTCACTTCTGTCCGTGTTCACATCACCCTTTCTCTTTGGGGTGTGAGATCTTCTGCCACCCTTTTGCAAGGAGGCACAGGATTGTACTGGGGCCCACCAGAGAATACATGACGATTTTCTTAATTGCAAAATTCTTAATTTAAGGACATTCACATTCTTACTTTGCAACACAAGTTCTAGAGAGCAGGATGTGGGAGTTTCGGGGAGAACTTTTCCCAGCCTGCCACTGTGTCTTGGGGATAGTCCCCCAAGACTCAACGTTCTGAGTAGTGAGAGTCTGTAGGGCTGACCCTTGCCTCCTAGGCCTGACCCCTAACAGCAGGTGGTAGAGAGGATGCCAGGGCCACCCCAGCTCCACCCCAGGGCTGTGTTACCCTTGGAGGCTTTATGGGTGAGTGATTATGTCATTCGGGATGGAGAGCATCCCATGCTTGCTTCTTTAATCAGCGGCATCAGAGAGGACCAGCAGGGGGACAGGGTGTCCAAGCTCTCAGCACCTCTCTCCCCTCTCTGGCACTTCGTAAGCACTCAGTGCCTGCTCATCACTTGCTTCCCCCGGTCTATCTTCTCTCTCCTCCTGTGAACGCAGCAAGCGGATCTCCAATGCCACAGCAGCCGAGGGGACAAATGCATGTGTTTATACACAGCTCTGGCATGTGCTGCCTGCCAAGGACACGGGCCACACCAAAAACAAAGCAAAACAAAACAAAACAAAAACCTTCTGCATGCCCCATTAATCAGAAGGCCAAGAGGACTGAAGAGCAGACCAAAAAGGAAAGAAAATGCAGGATTAATTTATGAGGCGTTCCGCTGCCTGGATGGCTCATTGCGCCCTCGCTCTGGCAAGGCCGCTCTGCAATGTGCTTCTAGACTTACTGTACTCCAGCATCCAGGGGCTCTTTTGTAACAAGCCAAATATTCCTGTGTTATTGTTCTAGGCACCTCCCGTTGGTCATTGGGCTAATTTATTTCAGTCGGAATTTCAGGACCAGACACCGCTCTTATTACTCACTGCTTCAGAGAGGGAATAAAAAAGCAATTGATATTTGGAAAAATGAAAAATATGTCCAGAACACTTTGGGTCCTGAGGCCAAGAAGGAAAAGGAGGGGGGCTGGGTGGAGGGCGAGCTGGAGGGAAAAAATCAAGCAGGCTCACCTCGTCACGCACTCTTGTTGTGGCTCGTCTCGGAGACAGAGAGTCTAGAATGTCTACAGACAAATGAATCAACGACAGGGTGCTGAGAACTCCCGACACCTGAGTCCTGCACATGACTTCAGCAGCCACCTGTGGGAGTGGGAGTGGAAAATACTGCAATTAGTCGGAGGGCCAGAGGGAAACCTCAGTGGGGCTGTTGAGCTCCTAAGGCCGTTTGCTCCCCACTCTGAGACTCCTCATAGAGAATTAGCCTAGGACTAGGGCTTGAGGCGTGACAGTCCAGAGACGCTTGCTCTTAGGAGACATGGCGCCAGGCAGTGGGGGGACGGGGAGGGTAGAGACATGATGAAGGGGTGTCCCTGGACAGTGTAAGTGTTCTTCCAGAGACTGGAAAGAAGGCCAAACGTCTATTTTGCCATGAGAGATCTTTTGCCGGGAGTCAGTGTGAAGTCCATGGCTTTGCTGTTCCTGGGATCCCTGGCCGAGCACCCAGTCTTTGGCAGCCAGAGTGGCTTCTGTGGACATGCAGAGGAAAAGGGGTGGGCTTTGTGCTTGCAGCAGAAGCTGTCCAGAGAGGCAGTGTGCAAAGAGGAAGGGGTATGTGTGTATGGCCTGAGCTTTCTGGGATGGCGTTGTGGGGAGGGGCCTTGACTGTATAGCTAAGCAGCATGGAAAGAATCCCTGCCCTTCTCTACTGTGAGACCCTGGACCACACCCTGTACTCTATGAGCCCTCAGTTTCCCCATCTATGTGGCAAAGATATGTGCTAA